AAGAACGGACAGCACCATGGATCTGTACACCATCAGCTTCGTGCCAATGGTAAGCTGATGGTTGTACCACACTCGGTACTCAAGCTTCCCGAATGCCGCCGCTGCCTTCGAGACGCAGATGTGCAGCTCACTGGGTAGCTGCTGGTCAGTCGACATCACACTCCGAAGGTAGCGGAAGCGGGAGGTGGTTTCCAATATTTCAGCACCAATGCTGATTCGCGGAAATATTGAAGATTGCATCTCCGGTGAAGGCTGAAAGAGACAGACAGTTTTGTTTGTGTTGTTGGTGAGCCCGAATTTGGCAGCCGTTGAAGCCAGAGCCCTATCCATGTGCTGCAACTCACACGCGCTGTGTGCAAACCACGCATAGTCATCAACCAACAGCAACATACGGATAGTTGTCTCACAGACTAGGGTTCTCGCACTGAAACGATGGATGTTCAGAGACCTATCAATACGGTGTTCCAAACGAACACCATAAGCACAAGCGGCATCACAAGTACAAGACATCATGGCATGAAGATAAATCTTAAACAAGACAGGTGCTAAGACACAGCCTTGCTTCACACCAGACATAAATGCAAATTCATCCGAGGTCTGTCCACTCACCTGAACCCTCGCCAGCATGCCACTTTGCAGACATTCAGTTAAGGTTACAAACTTACTCGGACAACCAAAGTTACCCAAAACCAGCCACAATGTCTCCCGGTTCACCGTATCAAATAACATGGTGAAAGCAACAAAAAGCGAGCACAATGGCTGGTGTCGTTCTCTGCACTTCTCCTGCAGCTGACGAGTCGCAAGCACCGTATCTATGATGCTGCGACCCGAACGGAATCCACACTTTTCTTCCGCAACGTTAGGTTCGATAACTTGAAAGATGAGGCGGTTGAACAGAATTCGGGCAATCACCTTGCCTACACAACGCAGCAACTTAATGGCACGATAATTCGTACAGCATTGCCTGCTCCCTTTGCCCTTGTACAGCGGTAGCACAAGGGCATCCTTCAGTTCAAGGGGCACCTGCTCCTCAATCCATACGCGTTGCACCAAGTGGTGCAGCGCTGTCACCAACGCGGATCCGATATGTTACAATACATCAGGCGTGATTCCGTCGGACCCAGCACACTTGCCGTTTCGCATCTGAGCAAGTGCTCTCTGCGTCTCATCCAGTGTCGGCGTGTCCCCCAGACTCGTCTTCACATCGTGCTGCTTGAGGCAGTCCAATGTAGGCCAGTCGATCTCTGAACGGTTGTTCAAGAGACAGTCAAGATGTTTTCGCTAGATCTGCATTATGTCTGCAATCTGTGTGCAGGTAGCGCCTGAGCTACCATCGAGTTGTGCTCTCAGCGGCTCCAAACTCGGTCCATAAACCGCGTTCAAGGAGCCAAAAATTCCTTGTGTTGGAGGTTTTCTGCATAGCATTTCATCTGCTTAGCCTTTTCCGTCCACCATATATTTTTAATGCGACGGAGCTCTTGGGTCAGTCGCCGTCGGAGTTTGTGAAACTGACTACTCTACCCCAGGTCACTGGGGTCTGCGACATGTGCAGCTAATACTGCATTCTTCTCACACATCCATACGCCCATTGTCGCATTGTTCTCATCAAACCAATCAGGCTGCTTACAGTTTGCGCGCCCGATGGTCTCCTCAACACCAGCTGTCACCTGGTCGCGAATGTCGTGCCACAGGTCGCCCACTGTGGCTATGCAGTCTACGTCACACAGGTGTGCAGCCATCGCCTTCTCCAGCTCAACACGTTTCTCCACCGTACCGAGGGGGCGAATGTTAAATTTACGCCGATTCACGGCGGGAATACAATACATAGATTTACGAAAATATATGTAGAGTTTGGTTCGCACCAATTTCTCATCAGTGCTACACTCAGCTCCACGCAATACTCGTGTCATGCGCACTTCACGCATATCACGCTGACGTACGATGACATAGTCGAGCAGGTGAGCGTGACCACTCAATGGGTGCGTTCAACTTGCTATATCACTCGCACTCATTGCAAACCGAGTGTTCATGATCGTCAGCCCGTGAGTGGCACACAGTGAGAGCAGCCTGTCACCGTTCGCATTCGCTAAACCAATGCCATGCGGACCGATAACATCTGTCCACACCGATGCATCACGCCCAACGCGCGTTGAAATCACCCAGCAGAAAAGTCGGTCCCTCCTCGGCACAAACCGTATCAAGGAGGATAACTGAGTGTAGAATTGATCACGCGTGTCATCAGGATAACACACAGTCGGACCGTATGTGCTTATAACGGTGGCAAACTTACCTCTTCCGAGTCGTAGGCAAACAGTCATCAGTCGCGCGCTGATGTCTGTTGTTTCATCCACCCAGTAGAATGTGTAGCCAGCACCCGCTTCATGCAACTTACCTTGCTCAGCTAGCCGGGTTTCACTGAGCGACGCAATATCGATGTTGTAGCTTGTCAGTTCCATCGCGACGATTGCTGTGCGTCGCTCCGGGCGCACGCTGGAGTTCCAGTCCAGTAGTGTGCGCACGTTCCAGCACCCGATGCTGAGTGCTTTGCGCGCAGGCATACGATTGCCTTGGTGGGCAATCGCACGCAAGGTTGCGGGTGTGCTTCGGAGGTTTGCTTGGGGGACTCCACCCGAAGTATTTGGTTCAATAACCTGACCCACATGGCAGTGCGTGATTGGTAGGTTTGCTTGAGGGACTCTGCCTTGAGCCTTTGGCTCAATCGTTTGACCCACAAGGCAGTGGGGAGCAGATCCAGCTCGGGAATGTGATTGCAGAGACTGATTGGGATCTGCTTGACGGCCGTCACACGCAGTCTTTGAGGTTCTGGAACAATTATTATATGTTTTGCGACCGTAGTAGGATACGCACCTGCGACCACGGCCAGACGCAGGTGGGTTTTTGGCGGGTTTGCACCAATTTGACCAGGGGCTGCCTGGCTTGAGGCGGGCAGTAGTTAAACATTGAACACACGGAGATGCCCTCCCACCATCAGACAATGCGTGGCACTGGTGCTCTACGCCAATCGAGCTGTGAGCTTATAACCCATAGACCTGTTGTCTCCCATGGCTAGGTTTGACGAGAAAAGGGCAATCGACCACTTCCTAACCTTCGAAGAGAATGGACTAAGATACTGACAGGCGCCCACACCTGATAGGAGAACGGCTTGAGTCCTCAGCGAAAGACTTCGATTAAATGTACACCCGAAAGGCAGCGGGTCTAGCACATGATCAGTTCACTGACTCATGCGGATTGGTGTCCTGTATATTAGGAAGGAGAAGGGAGTAACCCAACTCCAACCCAGCGGTCGTCACGAGGAGGCGTCCAGGACATGAGCTCATTACACAACAGTAGCAGCAGTGGGTAGACCATCTGTCAGGATCTAGCCACTACCAGCCCTTGCGAACCATAGACTGTCTCGCTATATATATATACATATATATATATATATATATATATATATATATATATATATAAGCGCAAATGTATGCTGTGGATCGGGAATGGAGCCATCTTTGTCTTCGCTCGTGATCTCACCAGTGATACTCCATGTGGATCACACGGGTTATGTGGGGCGGGGATAGGCGCGAGTGACAAGTGACCGCATGAAACAACACCAAAGCCGGAAACAGATGACACGAAACATGTTGAGTCCGAGTAATGTGCGATGACACATAAGTGGGGAAACTTCATGTTGAGAGGTAGTTTCAAATGGCTTGCAGTCTGAAAGGTAAGATTCCAGATAGGAGGATGTTTTGACGTAAATTGCGATAGTAAGGTTAGCAAACGAACCTCGAGTGTAAAACGGCTCAGTGGAGTCCTGGATACTTTGATAGACGAAAATTACATGGAGGAGTTGAGACATGTTCGGTGGGGATTAATCCAGGGAATGCAATGAAAGTTGACCAAGAGAACAGGGTTTCATTGATTCATTAGTTCAGTTTGTGAAATACAGTAATTCGACCGAGGTGCTGTATTGCCAATTAGTCTGGTTTATTTTGCTGAAACAATACCACTATTATTATTACCACTGCTAATATTAATGAGAAAGTCTAAGTGTCAAACACAAGGTAAAGGATACAAAAGCACCACAGTATTCGTGACTACCCCACATCCGACGGGACATCCAGACACTGATGACAATTTAAAACCCTGTCTAGACTTGTGGCGAGATTTTTCCAGCAATTTTTATCATCTCATTGACTTGTCACTTCGGGTGTCTGCCCAACTATTCATAATATTGAAGGACAATACATACCGAGGAAGTTGGTTCGCATGCATGAACAGTAAGTACAGCAAATGGCTCAAGAGTTCCCGATGTCGAATAAAATGGAGGTGAATAAAACAAATTTCTATGTTGTACAGTGAGATGGCAACGAAAGTCGTGGAGTTTTATACTGTGCATGTTAAACCAACACTGACAGCACAAAGCAAAATGGAGATGTAAGAAAAATGCACAAGTGTAATGGAAATGATTGATGAAAGATTGAAATATAGTTCCGTTGAAATGATAAAACTCCCCCGTGAGTTGTGTAGACCAGCCAGTGTTGTGGACACAGAAGCCAACAGAATGTCGCCCGCTAATGTGGCCGCTTTATTCGCAGACGAAATCTTTGGAAGTTACGTGGGCCTCATCATTCACGACGTGGGTGTCTGCAGCGCTGGTTTTTGGATTTGAGATATATATATATATATATATATATATATATATATATATATTGCTTCATCGCTTACCATCAAAATGAGCATTTTTGGAGTAAATTAGTGAAATAATGGACTTAATTCATCTGAAAAACCTATATATGTTACAAAAATATAACATGATATTGGAAAGCATCGCATCAAATATACACTTATTGGGTCGTTCCTTATGTGCGCGAATAAAAGTAAACTTTGGTTGAGCAGAGCTTTTTTGCTAATTAGTACGTTCTTTTGATGAACGGTGCTTTTAACTACATCAGTATTATCTAGGCTAAACTGTTTAACTGGTTCTTCTTTTGCAGCTATCAAGGAAAACTCAGCTCTGCGATGTCAGTTAATGCTTGTTCGCACTTGAATGCCGAATTGCAGGAACTCGAGTCTTTAAACACGGAAGTTTGGACCCCGTCTTCGACAGCTTCCAACGTGTGGGATACCGTAATACCCGAACAGCCAAAGCAACATCAGCTCTCAGTACATTCAGGTCCGAGTTACAGCTCAAACACATGGAATTCATCTGCTACAGATCCGGAGGACATTCACTGTCACATCAGTTCTGATAGCGGTGCCCGAGTCATTTCCAGATTAGCCAAATGGAATTCGATTAATAAGTGCTCTGAAGACTGTTACAACAGCTGTGAGCACACTGTGCGAAAACCTGTTCAAGAGTCGAAGGATGAAACACTAATGTCCGTCTCTAGCCCAGGTGAATGTGCGGTTAGTCCCACGCGGCGCATTTGTGCCAGATGTACGTGTATATTTAACGGTGGTACAAACTTGACCGGCAAAAGCAGTGTGATAAGCATTTTTGTCACAGTTGAATCGAAGTTGTTCGGTTGAGCCTCGCACACTGAAAGCATATCATACACAACCCAATGATTGAAAAATAAAGTCACAACTGTTTATTTCATTGAGGTTGTCTTTAACTCAGTACAACAGCGTGCATTCCAAAGCGTTTGTTACGTAGAACAAATCACTCATCGCCCAGATGTATCCGGCCCCCAGATAGCATGAACAATGGTTTTAAATGGTAGAAAGCGAGAGGGTTAGATTTTTCAAATTACTACATTTGTGTACCACCATTATGTTGTGCTGTTTTGTTGCATATTATTTGATTCATGTTTATATTGCATTGAAAGTGCCATTACCTGCATCGGCGTTTCGCAGCTGCGTGCTTTATCTATCAAAGGTTTAGTCGCCCTTGTTGATTCTCCTCCGACTGGCCTCAGTTCTTTCCGGATGACTCCTGTCTTAGTCTTTCTTGGGCTCTCACATCTTGATGGTTCTTGGTAGATAATTGTATGTAACTTGTTTGCTGAGATTCATACTCTCTCTAACTTTAGTGATTAATCTCAGTCTCGCGGTAAGTACCCACTGGCCTTTTGCTCCAACCACACAGGACGCAGTTTCCATTGACTGTAACATAATCGAATAAGCATTGTTCCGCTTACGTGCCCTGGCGCTCCCTATGTGGACGGCCGCGGCGGCGCGGACCGCCGACATTCTCTGTCATTTTCGCTAGAGGTAACTAGCGTTGGAGATTTGTATCTAGAATTGAATAGTTTGATATTATCTGGTGGTGTCTGACTGATCCGTCTCCTGAACTAAAGTCGTTGGCCGTTGATGCGATTTATCATGTCTCACACCATTTGTTACACAGCTTCGCTGGTGTCAAGAATAGACCGAGGTTAACTTAACGATTTATGAACCGAGTTTTTCACAAAAGGTTTTTCTAATGTGAAAGTGCTTAATGCTGAGGTTGATGCTGACCAACACTTGTGACTAGCGTAAATTTACTAACGGATGTCTTTCACCACTTACCTGTTTACTGGACAGATGCTAGAGACGGCCAGACTGCGGATTTACCCAGCGCCAATTCGAAGTCGGATACAGAGGAATGGTCTACCAGAAAACTTTACAAATCTAATTCGAACTCAAACTCTAACCATGCTGCACAGAAGTCTATCCCTCATCTTCCAGTGGAAGCCAGGAGAACGTACCTTAGATCGAATCCTTCACGCGAAGCTCCACAGTTTTCGAATGTTCGTTCAGCCCTACCATCACCAGTGTCTTCAGAGTCAACGTTTGGTTCCCGAAAATTCAAGCCAAATCCCGATATGGAACGCATTTATGGCGTAGCTACAACCAGGGCGACAACCTGGCTACGACGCACACCGAAGTGTTTGGAAAAACGTGAAGTCTATGGGCTGGAAACAGAACCCAAACAAGCGTACGCAGACGGATCAGCTAGTGCACCTCCCGGCACTCCTATCCGCCTACCATACACACCAGCTGGGTTCTTTACCGGTGGAATGGAGCTAGCTCAAATCCTGTCACCCGGTGGTATGTCACAACCGCGTTCGCATAGTTGCGGCTCCGTGTAGTTTTGTTTAGCTTCACTCGACTGAGCATTGTAGAACACTTGGTGTATACACTGTCATTCCAATTGTGTTAACCATATTCATCTTCACATCCCTGTAAAATAGCCAAATTTGCTTTCCTCGTATGCGCCGAGAAAACAAACGTTGATAAGTTAATAATATGAGTCTCTGAACCATCTGTTGAACTGTTACGTTTCCTCCCAACTACCTATCTCTTGGTGTTAATGTACTCTCTCCTTCATGAAACAAATACCTCACGATTAGGTAATTGCTTAATGTCAAACGTTTGCAACCTAATAACTGTATGACACTGCGAAGTGCCTTTTTGCACCATTTAGCCAGTCTGAAGTTAGTTGGCAACTTTATTCACAGCAGTGCTTAGTTTGAAAACGATCGATCAAGTTCTCTCCGTGATTGGAGCGCGAATAATCCTTGACTTGCCTAATCATGTTTCATGTTGAGATTTTGTTAACGTTCTGTCTACCGCCTGAAATGATCTCCTGGAGTTTTCCAAGCTGTTACATCATCCTTGAAGACTGCCTGAGATAGCACGCAGTTGCTTTCAGTTTTTCGTTTCCTTTGGGGCTTTCAAGTGTTACAAAGTAAACGAATACCAAACTTTTAGGAACGCATTCCTTAACTGTTTCATTGTTTCACAAGACGTAAGGCACCAGAAGTACGCCGCAATGCAGTACTGTCGCTTCGTTGCCGTGCAACCAACACCGGTCGCAAGTGGGCTTAAGGTACTGCGATGGTCGCCCGGTCCCTACGTAGGCTCGAACCCGCACCGTTGTTTTGCAAGGCAGACATATGCTCCTTAATGGCGGCCGGACGAGACTTTTGATCTGTCACTTTTTGCGAAATTTTTAAAAAGGATATTTTTAGCATCCTCTTTTCTTCCCGCTTCACTTATTTTTTGCTGCTGAAGCTCTTGTTTACAAATCTTGCTCACATTTTCAAGCGTCACCAGATAATTAGATGAGCTTTACTGCAAATGAACCCGAAATGCGAAAAGCCAGAATACCACCGCACTTAATGTTTATCATGAAGTTTAAAGCATCTCTGATTTCATGTTTCATGTGATGTACCAGGGCATGCGGAATCTATATCATTACTTCTTTGTAAAAATAAATGCTGCCCAATCAGGAATGCACCCACAGTAGTCATGAAAAAAATCCATCTGTATAGCTGTTTAACTGAACTTGTCCATTCGTTTCTTTTTTTCCAGTGGAAGAATCAACCTTGTCACTCCCATCTGGAAATTCACACGCCTCCAGAGTACGTGCGAGTTCACTCACACCCCAGCAATTAGTAGCTGAAACTTGATGTACAAACTCAGGAAGAGCTATTAACACACTTACCCGCCATTTCACTTAGGCATCAACCGATAGCTGGATATATATGATTAAACTAGTGCTAGGATTAAAAGAGCCATGTTTCGCATGTAGCTAGCATGCCACCACCTTAGATGCATGGTAGCCTTCTTGTTTAGTGTCTAGACTACGAGCGCTTTCTGTGGTCAATCGCAATGCTACATTCCCTAACCTGTTCCGCCCCCATACAACAGTTCTGGTAGTTGACGTTGTTACTATTCGTCTAAGTTGCTTTCACGGTTTCGACCGATAGTACATATTGTCAACTAAACACTCGAGGTAAAACTCGGCACAAACTGTGGCTATTGTAAAATAATGTCCAGTTGTATAACGGTCAACCTTGTACATTTGGTCTGCTTCTCCTACTAAAGACAACGAGCTTTGTTCCCATTAATCTCTGGGCTTCTCTCAGTATAGCAGAACCTTGCGAATACATAAGCCTAAACGCTTTCCTACTTGTCACGTGCTTCATTTGAGATACGTCAACACTTGTTTTCGCGCGGGGCTGCCCATCATCTTTAAGAAAAACCAAGGAAATAGAATTTATGTGCCCTCCACATAAACCCGAGAGACTGCACGAAGCATTCGGTTTGTTCTTTGCGGCTCCATCTAAAGGCACGATGAGTGCAAGTTAACACTTTGTACGTCTGTAGGTTGTGGTGATCCAATCCAGCGTAGATTTGCATCATGCGACTATACCGCTCGCACTAGCTGGGTTTTTGTTTTAAAGTAAATGCGCTTTGGGGATTGTGCAATTCACTCAAAATGTATGCGGAATTACTCTATCCTGTGATTAGACCATACCATCCAGGCTAACGAAAGGAAGTCTATTCAGAATGAGCTAGGACAACATGTTTGCTTTTGAAGACACCAAACGTTACCCCATATTACCAAACGCGCGTTTGCCCTACCGATTCCCTCGTGGGGATTTGATGCATTTGTATTTAGAACACCAAGCTAGTCTTCTAGCCGAATAAGGAGCCCAAGAAATCTGTTGCAGTGGAAGAAAATATGCAAACCCACCGTCCCATTGTAACAGTAACTACAAGAGTAATATTAATAATGGGTGTATTCGCATAGCTCCAAAACCTGGATCCAAACCTGGAGTAGATCATGCTATTGTATCAGCCAAAACTGTGTGAGTGCATATTACTTCGTCGCATGATTTGGACACAACATATATCCGTGGGCTATGGTTTATTGCCTGGCCGAAAGACAGATGCTTGTGGTTGAAAGTTTGGAGGGTATATATACTCTGTATGTCCTGCACGCATCCAGTGTTAGGTAAGCTGCTCAGCCCACATCCTCAGCGGATGGACAACGGAACCGTCGTCATTAAAGAGTTTTCAATATTTTTGTTCGAACTAATACTGAATATTGTGAACAGAGATCGAGATGAGAAAAATCTGCGTTGCTCCATCCTACGTGGACCGGGAACATGTACGGAATCACGTCGCTGATTCCTGCGCGGTGGCAGCATATTGCAGCTGCACTACATCTTATCCGGCTGCGATACGCTCGCTTTACGTGTAGTCTGAAAAGTTGGCGTCAAGGAATCGCCTAAATTCCGACACCGATTTCGCCTCGACTATTGTCTCATGCGACTTGTTCAAATATTTCACCATTCGACGCTCGAAACATAGAGGGTGAGCGATGCGCTTTAATTCCGGTACTACTAGTTTGTACCGGTGTCCGCGTGTGCTGCTTTGGGCGCGAAAGTGCAGCAGCTGCTTTAATGAAAGGAATTGGCCCAGGTGCAGTATCCGATACCTCATAAGGAGATCAACTCGAAGCTGACGATATCACAGAGTATAAAGCCCTAGTCTTCTACATCGCTCCTCGTACGACATACCCCGTAAACTGAAGAGCAGCCGCGTAGCTGCATGCTGTTACCCGTTCCAGTCTCTGCACCTCACCATCTGTGATCGGACATTGGGCGGGTGAGCCGTACTCACACACCGGTCTTATCATGTAAGAGAAAGACGGGTGGCAATCTCTTCAGACCAAATGCAGTAGCTGCGTCTAAATGCCCAAAGCAGGGGTAGTCCATTTACGTACAGGCCGATCGTGTTGTCGATAGACTTCAGATGACAGCGTGGGAGTACGCCTAGCTCCCTTACGCAACTGATGGGATGCAGCGGGTGTCGACCAGGGTGTAAGCAAGCCCATTACCACCCCCTCCTCATGCTCATAAACGAGGACTTGGCGGAATTGACCGGCAGGTCAATTTCTGCAGACTACCGGAATATGCGGTCGCGGTCCTGCTGAAGGAAGTCACAGCCGCCCGGAGAATCAATAATCCTCCAAATCTTCAGGTCGTCAGCAAACAATGCGCAGGATAACCGAAAAAGCTGAGGTACTTCATTGATGTGGACCAGGAACAAAACGGGCCCCAGAATTGTGACTTGGGGTACGTCGCTAGTGGACGGGTACCATTCCGTTTGACGGTCATCTACTTGAACCCGCATCTTCTCCAAATAATAAAGTCAATGATCCACTGGTGCAGTGCGCCACCAGCACCACACATGTTCATCTTGTGGAGCAGGACCACATGGTTCACTTTATCGAAAACTTTACTGAAATCAATGTAGATAACATCCACTGACTTCCCCCGGTTCGACGCCTGCAGCCATTCCTTCCGCGTCAACAGCAGGTTGGTGATGCACGGGCGGCCCTTCATGAAACCGTGTTGTGTGGGCGTTAGGAGATCTTTCGACTCCAGCAGCTGAAGAAGACCCCTTTTCAAAATCTTCTCGAACACCTTCGCCAAAACAGAGGTGAGACAAATGGGCCGGTAATTGTCCACATTTGTGCTTCTGAATTATCCAGTAATATATTATAAACCTTTTCGGCAGTAATTCTGTCGTTCTAGACTGCCTTGACTTTCGTACGTCCTGGTCCTACTTTGCTCGTGTCCTCGTCGGGCCAGTTTATCTCGTTCACTTCATTGTTAAAGTCGTTTTATGCCATAAACATTGGTATAATTCACTCACATTAGTTACTTGGATTTAGTTCATCATAACTACATGTACTAGTTTATTATAATTGCTGTGATTCTACATTACGCTGATTTACTCGTGTCGATCGATGCCTATTTTTGAAACGGCAAAGCAGACACATTGTGATATTTGCTCCAAAGTCGTTGGACATCGCGCAAATGCGATTACATGCCGTTTTTGCAGCATAGAGTTTGATATTTCATGCATTGGTCTGTCTGTAGACCAGTTCCGCGTAATTCAAGGGATTCAGCACGATTTTTTGAAGACCATTCATAAGCAATGTCAGTCTAAACTTAGACAGAATGGAGCCGAAAAGCCTTACAAGCGGATCAGTAAAGCGAAGTGCGCTAAAACGCGCAGTTCGATTTGTCCCACACACAATCATTGAAACAGCCAGCACTTAGTACAACAGCGAATCTATCCCTGAAGTCAAGTGCTATCGTTCCGGCAGGCTCTCCTTCAAGGCCTACGATTTCTTCAGTTGACACTAAAGCTCTAATTTGCAATAAGCAAATTGGTGATAACAGATGGAAAATGCAAATACCAAAGCAATCAAGAACAATATCCAGCGACCGGAGGCGCAAAGGCCCCATGGTCTTTCACGCACCCGAATCATGTGATTCCAATCCTTAGGTGCGCTATGATCACGATGTAGAGTTTTACTAACTCTGATTGATAGACTGCTCGATCTGAATGAGGGCGGGCTCAAAGTGAAACAGATCGCTCGTCTAGGAAAGAGAACCGAGGGCAAAAGTCGACCAATGAGGGTGACTTTTGTCGAAGAGGCAAGTCCTAATCAATATTATCCCGCCTTAATAGGCTGAAAGGTCTAAACATCCACGTGCGCGCTGACAGCAGACAGAGAGAAACTCAAATCTGCGATGACTGAACTAAAGCGACACACGTACGATGGACAAACAAATCTCCGTATCGTAAATTTTCGGCTAGTTACCCGGATTCCTCCGCGAATCCGGATCATCAGGTTTCTGATGCTTCAGGCGCGTCCAGCGGTTCCTACTGCAGCCTGCGCGTAGCCTTTACTACCCTCTGCAGTCTGAAAAACAAGCGCGGTGAGCTGCACTACTTTGTAACCTCTTAGCGATCAGACGTATTAGGTCTTGCTGAGACAATTCACTTATGTTGGCAGCTGCATCAGCAACGATGGGCGCATAGAAACTGACGTCAGATCACGCATTGCAAACGCCAGAGCTGCCTTCTCGAACCTGCGGCATCTTTGGCGACAGAAAGGAACTTCCCTCCGTCTGAAAGGCCGTGTATATAAGGCCACAGTGAGGGCCGTTCTGCTCTATGGTAGTGAGACTTGGCCCCTTCGGTCTAAAGATCTGAGGCGCCTTCAGGTCTTTGAACATCATTGTCTACGAAGCAGTGCTGGAGTCGGATGGTACCAGCGTGTCCGCAACGATGATGTGCGTAGACGAGTACTAGGTAGTAATAATCATGCTAGCTCCCTAGAACAACAGATAGTACTGAATAAGTTGCGTTGGCTCGGGCACATGTCACGTATGCCTGGTCACCGCTTACCTAGGAGGGTTTTGTTTAGTTTGCCAGGTGTAGGGTGGCGCAAGGCTCGAGGTGGACAGAAGTTGACTTGGAAGTGGGAAATGAAGTCACTGACGACCAAACTGGGTGCTCTTGGTCCGTCTCACCTTCCGGGCTGGAGTCCACGTGACTCGCCCTGGGCTTGGCTCGAGACTCTACAGGACATGGCTCGCAACCGACACCAGTGGCGCGTCTGCTGCCGTCTCCTAATCGGATTGTCTGTTTAAAGTGTGTTTGGTGCTGAGTTATCTGCGGGGTAATGGCTGATTATGACGCGGAGCAGCGAAAGCCGCAAGGAAGCTGTCTCGTCGATACCGCCTTATCTTTGCACGATAGCTAGCCGTTT